ATATAAATATACAGTATTTAATATATATTTAATATATATATTTTAAATTTGTATTTAAATTTACATTAAATTTAAATATATTTATATTAAAGACTTAGAGATAATAACAAGATGACGTTGGTGATGGTGAGGTTACATTTTTATTTTGTCTCCTCCAAGTAGATCTGGAATTATCCTATTTTGTCATCTTGGCGACCTTCATAAGGTGACCAAGGTAGAAAGGCACTTTCTATTTCTTTGTAAGATCTGTAGATTGTGGCTTTCCTCCAAGAGCTCAAATCAATGTAACAGCACCATTTTTTTTTCTCCACAACATCCTTGTGAAGAAAGTTGGGTTGAGACGATGAGCCCAGATCACCCAGTGACTTTTGTGGCTGAGGATAGTTCTGAACCCGGATCTCTCTAGTCTTAGTCTAGCATCTTAACTACTACCACAAATTGGCTTTCCTGGATGTGCCAGAGGCAGGATAATTGAAGGGTGACCTGTTGAATGTCCAGTGGCCAGTTCCAGCCAGTACTCCAGAGTTCACCCAGAGCACTTTCCAAATCAGAAACAATAAGGGGAACATAAATAAGAGAAGGGATGAGCCAGTTTGGTGCACAGGTAGTCCTTGTTTAGTGACTGCCTCATTTAGTGACCATTCACAGTTATGATGGAGATGAAAAAGTAACTTTGCAACCAATCCTCACATTTTCAACCTTCGAAGGTCTGAAAAGGAAAGGAAAGCTGAAATCAGATCATAAGCACCATTGCTGTTTCACTTAGCGACTGCTTTGCTTAATGATTGAGCTGCCAGTCCCCATTGTGGTTGCTAAAACAAGGATTATTTGTAGCGGTAAAGGCGTCAAGCTAGAAACCTGATAGGAAATTCTAGTCCCCGCCTTAGGCATGAATCCAGCTGGGTGACCTTGGGCCAGTCACTCTCTCAGCCCGAGGAAGCAGGCAATGGCAACCCACTTCTGCAATCTTGCCAAGAAAACTGCAGGGACTTGTCCTGGCAGTTGCCAGGAGCCAACCTGACTCAAAAGTGTGTGTGTGTTGGGTGTGTGTGTGTGTGTCTGTCTGTCTGTCTCTCTGTCTATCTGACAAAGGAGACCTAATGCAGCCATATGCATTGTTGGCCAGATTTCTCTCTTCCTCTCTAGCATCCCTTAAGTATTTTTTTTTTTGATCCTGCCTTTATTATTTTTATAAATAACTCAAGGCGGGGAGCGTACCTAATACTCCTTCCTCCTCCTATTCTCCGCACAACAACACCCCTGTGAGGTGAGTTGGGCTGGCCCAAAGTCCCCCAGCCGGCTTTCGTGCCTAAGGCGGGACTAGACCTCGCCGTCTCCCGGTTTCTAGCCTGGTGCCTTCACCACTAGACCACACTGCCCTTTGCTTGTCAACACTTTTGTGGGAATCCGGAACATAAATGGATTTGTCCATAAACAAAACCTAGTCCCAAAACAGGGGGCTCGGAAAAATAAATTTTAAGTAGAGAGAAGGGGGGAGGGGGGAGAGAGGGAG